GTGTGTGTGTGTGTGTGTGTGTGTGTGTGTGTGTGTGTGTGTGTGTGTGTGTGTGTGTGTGTGTGTGTGTGTGTGTGTGTGTGTGTGTGTGTGTGAGTATGTTACTCGCTTAAAACTCTTGAAGGGTTTGACCGATTTTATCGCGGTTGGCGCCATTCGAAAGGACTTGGCCGAAATTAGATTTTGAATACAATTTGGACCGATTCAGATGGGTAAATTTTGAAAAATCTCAAAAAAACTAAGAAAAAAAATTTTTTTTAATGTGGTTTTTTTTGGATAACTTTTAAACGGCTATTCCGATCGATTTCAAAAACTAATTAGCTCTTAACATCAAAAAACCGCGTCGATCGCCGCCAAGCCGGTCAAAATCGGTTGATTCGTTCGAGCGATATCGTGAACGAAAGAATACCGAAAAAGTATTTTTTCTACATAACTTCGACATTTCTTTTCGGATCGTTTTTGATCAAATAGAATAATTATTAGAACTTAAAAAACTACGTCGATCGTCATCAAGGACGTGAAAATCGGTTGATTGGTTCGAGAGATATCGTCGACGAAATGTTTGGAAACAAGTGTTTTTTCAACATAACTCCGACATTTTTTGGAATAACTTTCAAACGGCTCTACTGATCAATTCCAACAACAAATATGCTTTTAACATCAAAAAACCACGTCGATCGCCTCCAAGTCGGTCAAAATCGGTTGATTCGTTCGAGAGATGTCGTAAACGAAAGAAAACCGAAAAAAAGTGTTTTTTCAAAATTACTCCGAAATTTCTAGTTCGATCAATTCAAGCGTAGAGATTCTTTATGAGATTTAAAAAACTGTGTCGATTGCCGCCAACCGCGTGAAAATCGGTTCATTCTTTTAAAAGTTATTGCGGTTTGAAAATTCAAAAAATAGTGTTTTATAAAACTTCTATCAGAATTTTGAGCTCGAAGGGCTCACAAACATAGAAAAGCTAGAAAACTCTTTGAGCTCGGAGAGCTCAAAAGAACACATAAGTTTTATTTTTGAGCTCGAAGAGCTCAATAACATCATTAGTGCAATTTTAAGCGCCTAGGTATGGAAGTGGCGGGAAGTTGTAGGGGTGGTCTTCAGGGTCAACCGTTTTCCTAATTTTTTTCTTTGTTACCTTTGATATTATAACTAAAATTAAATATTTTTTATTAATTTAATTTTTATTACTTATTAATGATCAAAATATTCATATCACCGTGAATCTAGTATACATAACAATTGATCATTTATTATTAAAAGATCATACATAGATTTTGCTCATCTTCGAAATAGTCCAAGATAATCGTCCAAATACTAAATACACTGAAAAAAAAATTTTTTTTCACCAAGAATACTAAATTTTTTACTCGAGTTTTCTCGATATAAAAAAACTGGTATTCTTAACCTTAAGATACCACGCTTTATTATAAGGCTAGTTTTTTGACAGTGAGAAAACGGTATTCTTATAGTTAAAAAACTTTCGTATTTTAACCATAAGAATACCAGTTTTTTAACCATAAGGAAACATTTCCTTGGTAGAAAAAAACTTTTTTTTCAGTGTACCCCAAGAAAACTTTTGCAGAACTTCTGTATTGTAATTAATTAATAAATTTGTTTTTCAACAAAGTGTTATAGCGAAAATAAAGAGAAATTTATATCAAATGAAATCTACCTTTCATTTCAAGTAAAGCCGAATGGCATTTTTTTAATTTTGAAACGTTAATGGGACAAAAAAAACTTTAGATTTAGATTCAGTGCACTGTTAAAAATTTCTATTGTAATTTTACAAGAAATGTATTGGAAGCTAATAGGCAAAACATTTATTTAAAATTACAATCGGGTATAGTAAAATTACAAAACATATATAGATCAGTGAGGTTACTAATTTTACAAAACGGTTTTGTAATTTTACAAATATTTTTAGATTAGCT